TAATCACATTTTATCAGTGGATTTTATGTGTTTTCGTAACATATTTAACTACCTCATTATTAATTAACTAGTTAGTTATAATTAATTCCGAAATTATGTCTATTTAATTATCATCTATTCATCTGTCTCTTGCACGTGTATCGGTGTATTAAACTTTAGCCTGGTATATTAATAAATTTTGTGCAACCGGTTGAATGTCTTGTACACAACTTGCTCAGAGTGCATATTCCCTCATCTGAGAGTTTAGATCCCATGCTAATCAGCTAATCACAAGTTTAAAGGATTTCTCATCTGGAAATTTAGTGTCCATTTTAGACGTGTAGTAAAGTGATATGTTTTAAATTTTTGGCACTTCACCATTGCACTCTGATCACATCTGCTTTTTCAAGTAATTAAGAGGATATAAAAACTGTGTTAGCGAATATTCTGTAGACTTACCATGTGCCATTGATGGGCTAAGCACGTGCCAACGTTGAGGAAGTTGTGCTGGTTATTAACTTATTATGAAAATACTCCTATCATTTGTTGCTCTCGTCACATTGCACTTCACTATGGCAAAAATCCGTAGTTCATCACTCCTCACTTTGACATCTTGGTTGAATGTTTTGCATTCCCTATAGATCAATTAAAAGTAGAGATTACGATATCAGATACTCAATGCATGCAGCCTTTTAATAGCGTAGTACTTTTTCAGTTCTATCTGTTTGAAAAGGGTATTTCTATGGTATGCAGATCTGTCACAACAAGTGCAAGTTGTAGTGGAGAACATGGTGAAGATGATAAAGTGAGCTGCATCCACTATTAACATTGGTTCTAATTGTTAGGAACTCAGTATGATTTAAAATAATGGGTTCAAAAGTTAACCACAGTGGTACTACATATGCTGTACTCATCTACTGTATCTCAGTAGAGCACCATGTTATTTAGTCATTCGCATTCTCTAGATATTGTTTATGGTTGTGTGTAATTGTCTTTCTCCAGTCCTGATAGTGTTTTTCCTATCGGTGGAACTGAAATGTGCATCCCACTTTTTCATCCAAACTTCAGTTTGCGTCCAATGTTTGAAATCATTGATATTTGCAACCAAAGCTTGACAAATCTGTTAAAAATAGGGAAACTTCAATTCAGAGGAGAAATGGGGTGTAAACTGCATTTTTGGGGAGCAATCATTAATTATTTCAAAAATGTGATGCAAACTCAAATTTGGATGAAATAGTGGGGTGCAAAGTCCAATTCCTCCTTATTTTTTAAATGTAAGTTACTTTTTTCTTCACTTTTCATGAATTAGCCATTTCTTAAAAAATTCCAGGCTAATTGACTATCTTCTTGTGGACCTCCTACAGGGAAATTGACCAGAGCTCCACTGAAATAGTAGAAGAGATAGAAAAGTGCAAAGACACTGCTCTTGAGAGGAAGAGAAGCTTAGAAGAACAGAAAACGGATTTTCAGAAAGCTGCTTATGCTGTTCTAAACATGCTGAATAGTGAAGAGATCAACTGATGCTGTATGCTTTTCGACTTTTTTATTGTTTCCCGATTTCTCTGATTGATAGTGCAGATTCCAGCATGTACTTTCATGTTGCTAGCACTGCTTGTTAGCTCATACTCTCTCTGCTTATCCGTTCTCGGACATTCAAGGTTTCTACACATGATATTAGGAAAACATTGAATTCTCCAGAATTGTTGAAGAATGAATGAATGAGTGGAGATTTTTGTCAAATCGTGAAACAGCTTGTATTGTACGATTGGGAAGCATATTAAAATAAAAAATCTAGACAACAAAAGCCATACCTATATCATGAAAAAATGTTGAAAGCTTTGGAAATAAGGTCCTCAACTTCAGCATGTCGTTGCACTAAAAAAAACTCCAACATTTCCCCATGATGGTTGACTTAAGTAGTTCTATTTATGCATTTCTACTTTAAGGCTTTTTGTTTGGAAATTTGAGTACTTATATAGCCTGTTGTGTGTTTGTTTGCCTGGAATTTGAATACCTTTTTAACTCATTAAACAATAGAAATGATTTTCCATGGAGTTTAATTTTACTTTTCCACATTGATACCAAATACGTAGTAGTTAATATTTAATTTTCCAATAATATAATTAATTGAAGATCTTTTTGATGCAATGATTTTGATCTAGTTTTATTTTCTAGGGAACCCCTCAAGCCGGTCAGTAAAATAGAAAGTTATGAGTAGAGGAAAATAGTCATCTCTTTTGTCACAGGAAAAACTTAATGAAATTTCATCCATTCAGGAAACTCTAGTGTTGCTTCAAGAGTATTGAAAGGCACTGAATTTTTCATTTGTAGCTTGAACTATTTTTTACGCATTTAAAGACATTGCGGCTAGTCATGGACCCGGGCCGGGCCCGGCCGGGCTTTTTTTTGGGAAGGAAGGCCCGGGACCGGCCCGGGTAGCCACCGGGTCCGGGCCGGGCCTCCGGTTCGATCATAATTTTTTTTTTTTTTGCTTTCCTAACCCCCCCACTCACCCCCCACCCCCCACCCAAACCCCCAAACCCCTCCTAACCATCAAGCCCAACCCGGCTAACCCCAAAAAATGAAAAAAAAAAATAAAAAAAAAATCATTTCGGCCCGGGCCCGGGCCCGACCCGGCCGGGCCGGTTCGCCAAATACAAGGCCCGAGCCCGGACCCGCCCCCCCCACCAGGCCTAGGCCCGACCCGGACCCGGACCCGAGAACCGGGCCGGTTCCGGGCCCGCACAGTGGCGGGCCGGGCTGGTCCCGGGCCGGGCGGCCCGAACCGGGTCCATGCCTAATTGCGGCTAGAATTGGAAGTTTGTCTGATGTTGTCTTATTACTCCGTATTGTAATTGTTTCAGGAAAGATACTAATCTTTATCATTCCTTATAAAACCCAACATTTTATGCCCCAGAGCTATCAGCATTGAGGATGATAGCTCTTCTCTACCAACATTCTTTTCAGCACTAATTATACCATGTGGGAAGCATTAAAGTGAAGCTATACAAAACTATAGATAACTTTGAGGATGTCTATTCATTTTATAGTGAAGCTACACTAATTCTTTCCACGCTATATAGTTATGTATAGCGGGCCATTACAGTTTTTCGAAATGGGCATCGAAAAAATCATAAAACTCATTTAAAATGTCTACTATACTCAAAAGTTCATTTGTGTAAAACTACGTATAACTTAAGTTTCTCCTAACTTGCGACCAAATCGTCAAAGGAAATGAGTGCAAAGAAAGAGATGTGGGGGAGAGGCAACTAGCGTCGGAAAATACACCCGGCAGAACAGCCGTGAGGAAATGAGTGCAAAGAAAGAGAGGTGGGGGAGAGGCAACTAGCGTCGGAGAATACACCCGACAGAACAGCCGTCTCTTCGCAAGCCGGAGTTTGAGGTACTGTGTTCGTTTTGGAGGTTTGCGAGTGACGAGTAGTCATATGTGTACGGCGGTGGGCGGACGAATATCAAGCGAAATGCGAAGTGGGAACCTGAGATGGAAGTAATATACTAATAAGCAACTAAAAGCCCCGCAATACCGTGTCCTTTTATCGTGTGCACGGTAAAACCGGCAATACGATATAATTTACGCATTGCCCAGAACCTCTTTAAAAAGTTGGTATACTACGTTATCATAACCGGATCCATATGGGGAACAGAGAGTAACCACAACTGTCGTTCATTTAGGCTCTTCTGTTTGCAATCACTTAAAATAAGTGATTGTGGCTTTTTAAAAAAACACTTATTTTACCAAACACTATCAACTTTTACTACTAATCACTTTTTTCCCAAAAAAGTGCTTTTATTGAAACACAAGTGATTGCAAACAGAGTCTTACTCGGAGAAAGTTACTCCCAAAAAGCCAACCCTAACTTCATTGTAGATAAAAAAATGTGCTAAATACGTATATTTTAAAAATATCCAAACTGAAAGATCAGATACCATTATTTATCCAAGAAACTTTAACAATAATACTTTAGAATATTATGTGTGTGCTAGTTGTTTATAAAAAGCCTATTTGGTAACGCGAAAATCGATTCATTCGGTCGATTCTGCTGAAATTTATGAAGTTCTGACTGAAGTGGTTGCATTGGATGATACTGTTGATTTAAGAAAAAAATATTTCTAAAATATATTTTATTAATAAAATAAAGAAAAAATTATACTATGTAAAAATGGCTAAAATAGTCATCTACAGTAACATCAGCCAATATAGCCAGAAAAGTAACTTCAACCTTATTTTTTCTTACTATTATACAATTCAGCGCGCGAAAGCAAAAGTTACGTGTTTGGTGAAAAAGCTGGCTGATGAGCCTGATAAGCCAAAAAACAATGTTACCAAACGGCCTCGGAGCCCGTTTGGTAACACGACAATTTTCAGCCAATTTGGCTGATTATGCTGAAACTTATGAAGTTCTTGATGAAGTGGTTGTATTGGTTGGTTCTGCCGATTCAAGGAAAAAAAATGAAAATACTCCCTCCGTCCCAATATAAAAAGCACATTTTCCTTTTCGGACCGTCCCAATATAAAAGGCACATTTTCCCTTTTAGCAAACAAAACAGTGCCAAACAGTGTTCAAACAGTGTTCATCCTAAAAATGTGTGGAAACACAAATGTGCCTTTTATATTGGGACGGAGGGAGTATATTTTATTACTAAAATAAAGAAAAAATATAAAATAGCTAAAATGATCATATACAGTAACTTCAGTCAATACAACCACAAATTAACTTCAACCTTACTTTTTCTTGTAATTACACAATTCAGCACGAAAAAGAAAAACTCACGTGTTTGATGAAAAAATGGTTGATAAGCTTGATAAGCCGAAAAACAGTGTTACCAAACAACCTCTAAATATATAACTATACAACCCTGCTATAGGTACCTCAATTTGTACCCCAACTTATTTATGTGGCTCACAAAAGCCCACCTCAATAAATGAATTGTCTCACTTTAATGAGGTGTTTTTGTAAGTCATAAAAATAGGGTGGGAGTACAAATTGGGTTACAAATTGGGTACATTTACCATTTTTTATAACCATTACAGATTGGACAAGAAATTTTCCAATATTCATACCAAACTTTCTTTTCGGGTGAGAGTCCCACTCAACATAGCCGCTAATTGCGAGAGAGAACGGGTAAAAGGGCTGGTTTTCATCTTAATTCTCAACTGAATGCGACTATTGACCAAAAAAATTACAGCATGAAAAACATAAGCTAAAGTAGAAAATAACAGAAAAGGTTCCTTCCGGTCATACTTCCACCCCTGCTTGAACTCTGTTGATCTGTTCTTCCTTCACAAATTACAGAAGAATCCCTTTCCCCAAGAAACAAAAGTTAAAGGCCCCAAGATTAGTCAAGGGAAGAACAGTCTTGCATTATCAGATCTAATGGTCATTAGTGTATGAGCCATGAAGAAAAGTAGCCGCAGCATTATACCACTGATCTTCCTTTCCGCATTTCTCATTCTCTTTGATGTTTCCGCATCAAGTGATCGCCGCCGCCGGTTCGATGAGGGACAGGCGGTTTCCTCCTACAACGGAGATGCTCTCGCCGTGGATCCAACCCTAAAATTCGACAACGACAATCACCGGTTGAAGAATGCCTACATCGCGCTTCAAGCTTGGAAAGAAGCCATCATTTCCGACCCGCAAAACATAACCGGCAACTGGATTGGAGCGGATGTGTGCAACTATACCGGTGTCTTCTGTTGGCCGGCTCCCGACGATCCGTCGGAGATGACGGTCGCCGGAATCGATATCAACCATGGCGATGTTGCAGGAACGCTCCCCCACGAGTTAGGTCTGCTGTATGACCTCACTCTGTTCCATATAAACTCCAACCGCTTCTGCGGGAAACTCCCCTGGAGTTTCTCAGATTTGAAACTTCTCTTCGAGTTAGATCTGAGTAACAACCGATTTGCCGGGAAATTCCCGGAGATTGTCCTTCAATTGCCGAATTTGAAATACCTAGACCTGAGATTCAACGAGTTTGAGGGCACACTCCCGGAAGAGCTGTTCGAGAGGCGATTCGATGCCATATTCGTCAACAACAACAGATTCGCCTCAGAGCTGCCTCCGAACCTGGGGAACTCCCCGGCTTCGGTGGTGGTGCTGGCGAACAACCGGTTCCGAGGCTGCGTGCCTCCCAGCCTCGGGAACATGTCGGGGACCTTGAACGAAATGGTGATATCTAACAATGCTTTTCACTCGTGTTTGCCGGATGAGATCGGAGGGCTTAAGAACTTGGACGTGCTGGATGTGAGCGATAACGAGATCACGGGGAGGTTACCGGAGAGTATAGGCGGGATGGAGAGATTGAAGGAGCTGAATGTAGCGCATAACCTGTTCTATGGGGAGATTCCTGATGGTATATGCTCGCTTGATGGGCTGGTGAGGTTTGATTATGAGTATAACTTTTTCACGAGGGAGGCTTCAGCTTGTCTCAATTTGCCGGCTTATGATGACAGGCAGAACTGTTTGGGCAGAGACAGGGAGGATCAGAGGCCTGAGTTGGAATGTAAGAGGTTCTTGTCTACCACATCCACACTCAATTGTAGTAGTTTCAAGTGTTTAGCCTCACCGAAACCGCCTTTGTCTCCTCCACCATCACCGCTGCCGCCACATTGGCCTTCACCTCCTCCTCCTCCACCACCAGCATCACCACAGGCTCCTTCACCGCGCCCACAACCAGCACCATTATCTCCACCACCTCCGCCTTCATCCCCTCCTCCACCATCACCCCAAGTTCCTTCTAGACCACCACAACCCGCGCCTGTATTCCCATGTCCACCGCATACAGAACCTCCACCGCCATTGCCTTCATCTCCTCCTCCACCAGAATCACCACAAGCTCCTTCACTGCCCCCTCTACCACCACCGCAAACGAATCCTCCTCCACCACCACAACTGCCTCCATCTCCTCCACCACCACCAGCACCTCTTGCATTTACACCTCCACCTCCACCACCGAGTCATTGCAATTGCAGCATGACAACACCTCCCCCTCCTCAGGGAAACTCACCTCCACCACCGCCTACCACTAGCCCACCCCCAGCTTCTCCTCCACCGTGTTCAGAACAAGCACCACCACCACCACCTCTATATTTTCCATCTCCACCCTCTTCAAGCTAATCACAGCAGAAAAGAAAAGCTACACTTGAGTTGACAAAGACACCAACTCCTTAGCATGCATCACTTGTGTCATCTTCATCTTAGCTGGCTACCATTTCAATTCATGATGTGCCACAGTAATAACTGAATTTTCATAATTCAGATTCTGGCAAATCGAAATTCATCAAAAAAGAAGGGAAAAGTGAACCATCATTCATCAATGCACGTGCTGCGGGATGTTGACTTTTGTGTTTTCAACGATATCTCATTGTTGATCAACATATATACAGCATTTACTTTTCTTTGTTATCCAACTTTTGTGTAACACACGTACAGAATGATGGATATAGTGACGTGGTAGAGACGCCATTCCAGAACACAGCATTTACTTTTCTTTGTTAACAACTTTGTACTACCTAGCCCATATAGGTCGCTATCATTCATTCATTCTTTTATAATGATTGTGATTGCTTTTGTGTTTAATTGCAACATTTTTTTTGCAAAAAACAAGACTTTTATTACGGAGTACTACGTATTAATACTCGCCGATGGACCACGCAAAGATTTAATCTGTGGTGTTTTTTCAGATTAAGTTGTGTGTCTTAGGATGAAAAAGTAAGAGAAGCATTTATGAAGTTTTGTTTCTTACTTAGTATCAATTTTGATTATCCACGCTGGAGTTTGCTGTAAAATGTGACTTGAATAAAGAGCTCTAACCATCGTTTACAAATATACAGATTTTAGATTAGATAACTAGCATTTTATCCCGATGTTACCCTATGCACACATTGAAATTGTTTGAATATGTGTCATCACCCATTACTATTAATTATGTTGAAGGGCAAAGGGTATGTGTATTTATGGTAATGGACTAATGAGTGGCAGTGTTCCAAGAAGGAAGATTGTAATCTTATATACTCCGTACTATCCTAATTTTTAAGGATATTTTTGACATTTTCATTGTAAGACATATTTTTAGCCAAATCAAGTAAACATATACTCCTTCCGTATCTATTTATTTGACCCGTTTACCTTTTTACGTAGTTTAAGGCAAGTATATGTAAAATAGGAGGTTTTTTGATACTGTAGCAGTACTGTAGCGGTACTGTAATTGTTTTTTGAGTGGGTCTCTTTCCAAAAGAAGGAATGAGACATTTTTTTATAGATACGGATGGAGTATTTAATAAGCCGTTCTTATTAAGCAATGACTTAATAAGGCAGGGCTTAGTAAGCATTGTTTATTAATCGTTCCTTCGGGGACATCCGATAAAATTGGGCATTCTGCGCACATATAATGTGCAGTATATTTCAAGAATTTGTTTGACTGTCTTCCTGATTGAATTTTGAGCTGAAATTTGGTATGGATAAACTAGACTTGATGAAGAACATGTTCAAAAATTTTCATCAAAAAAATCCACCGGGAACGGCCTCTGATGGTTTTGTTCATACGAAGCCTTTCGTACATTCATATATATGTACATTTCAATTAAAATCACTTCTATTATCAAATACTACCAATTTTTTTATAAATCATTTTTTCAATAATTTCTTAAAAATCACTTCTGAAAAACACAAGCAAGAGCAAACATAGCCTCATTTTTTTAAGTTATTCTTGGTTTTAGTTAGGGCTTGTTTGCAATAACTTAAATTAAGTGATTGTGGCTTTTTTAAAGAAAAAATCACTTATTTTACCAAACCATACCAATTTTTACTTTTCTCGGTTTTTGTGTAGAATCTACTTTTTCTATTACACAAAAATCAGTTATTTTACCAAACACTACCAACTTTTACTACTAATCACTTTTTCCCAAAAAATGCTTTTATTTAAGCACAGTCACTTGCAAATAGAGCATTAGTGCAATTACTATAATTAAAAGCAGAGGGCAGAGCACCAAAATTGAAATCAATCCTAAGCATCGTCAGTTGAGTTTCTCAGTAGATTCTTCTTCCAACATCGACCGAAGGACCGAGTCGACTCAGACGAGGGACGAGCCAAGTCAGCCAACGACTGCACGTCTGTACCGTTCACAGTGTCCTGTCCCTGGGGCCCTGCAGTCACGGCTTATCTCGGGTATGGCGTTGCACTGCGACTTATTTTTTTCACCTTTTATGCGCTTCATTTTATATTTTCAGTTGGAGCTAATACGCGGGGTTTCTGATTGGATTAATTTTTCGCGCTCTTACGAATTAGGTCTTGAATGCTGGGGAATTTGGAGGTGAAGTGAAGCTGTGTGGGGGCTAAGACTCGTGCTCTTGGTCCCCTGCGAATATGGATATTTAATTGTAAGCGTTTCGTGATTCTGATTCAGAGAAAATGAGCTGCAGACTTGAGAGCCCATTCATTGCTTGCCAATTTACCCGTGATTTATATGGAGTGAAAAGGGGGAGATTGTGTTATAGAGGTGGAGCCAGGATACTGAAAAGGGATATTTGCAAATGTAAATGCTCAAAGAAAGATAACTGGATATCTAAAGGGGTAAACTTCACCCATTCTTTAGAGAGAAATGCTCAATTGCTATGGAAGAAGTTTGCACTCAGAAGCGGGAGATTGATGTATTCAGTTAAACAACCTTTAGTTCAAAGTAGGAGTTTCGTGAAATGGATGGTTCGTGTATGGGATGAAGGATTACTTCTTGTGCGCTGTTCTGTCTTTTTTACGGTGATATCTGGAGTTTGCCTACTGCTTTGGTATGGTCAGAGAAAAGCCAAGAGCTATGTTGAAAACAATCTTCTGCCTTCTATATGTGTATTATTGAGTGATTACATTCAGCGTGATCTGGATTTTGGTAGGGTGCGGAGAATTTCACCATTAAGCATTACATTGGAGTCATGCTCTATTGGTCCCCATAGTGAAGAGTTTTCCTGTGGCGAGGTTCCATCTGTCAAGTTACGAATTCTGCCATTTGCTAGTTTGAGAAATGGAAAGATTGTTATTGACGCAGTCTTATCAAATCCAAGTGTTCTGGTAGCACAAAAAAAGGATTTCACTTTCTTGGGTATACCCTTTTCTGAAGGAAGTCAACAGAGGCATTTGTCTGACGAAGAAGGAATTGATTACCGTACAAAAACTAGAAGGATTTCCAGAGAGGAAGCGGCTGCTTGCTGGGCCAGGGATAGGGACAATGCAGCTAGGGAAGCAGCTGAGAATGGTTATGTTCTTCGTGAAAGGGTTTCTTGTTTGTCAGAGGGCGACTTCACCAATGGTGGTGTTAGTTCTTCGGAAAAATTGGCAGCATCTGAGTCGTTCTTTTGTATGGATGAGAAACTGCACTGGAAAGATCATCATTCTTTGGACACTGTAGGGGAGTATGTTATGAAACATTCAGATCTCGAGAAGGCTTTTGGTGCTAAAGTTCTTCCTTCAGGGACTACATTTTGGTCTCGAATCATGCCTGCTGTTATGAGGCATAATTTCAAGAAGTGTAATAAAAAAGAGTTAACCGCAGCTAATATTGCAGCTAAAAAAAGAATCTTAGAGCGAAGTGCTTCGACCGCTCGCATATATTATCAAGCTCTATCCAATGGTACCAGCGGAAATGCTTCTCAATCTCCTGGAGATCTTGAAGTGAAAAGTGAGGCCAAAAGTGATGAGGACAAGGAAACTGTGATTTCACCAGTGCACGATGCTGAAGGGAACAAAGTTAATGATGATACAACATTTGAATCATTCGTGCATGATTCTATGAGCAAGGGAGTCGGGGAACTTGGGCAAAACTTCAAAAGTGAACGTATCACTGTGAAATTTCCTGGAAACTTTTTCCCAGGAGAAAAACATGACAGTAGTTACATTGGTAGTATACCGATCTTGTACGATCCATTTCTTTTTACGTTGACTAGACTGTGCGAGACTACAAATCTTTGTGAAAAACTATCATCCATGAAGGATGTTACCGGGATTAATGAGACCAATGAGGGTGATATAAATGCTAAAGAATCAGAAGCTCATATCATAAATGGAGATGATAGTAGCCATAGTACAAAGCAGAAATCTGAATTATCTACTGACTTGATGCAGGAGACTTGTTCTGATCCTTCAGATAGTCAAAGAGACCATCCTTCTAATGACTCAACTTTCACTCTCTTTAATTCTTTTCCTCTCAAGCACTGCCCTGAAAAGGTTGGGCTGTTCAGCCTAAAATCTGTACTGCACAACATGACTCTGGTTTTGAGTCTTTTGATTGGTAATCCTATTAAAAGAATGGAGTTGTACATGAATCCAAGAAATGGTTTTTCTGAACTTGCAAAGGATGTTGAAGAAGATGTGGTCAACATAGAAAGAGCAATTCCAGTAATTTTGGATTCTGTTCATTTCAAGGGTGGCACCTTAATGTTGCTCGCATATGGTGATACTGAGCCAAGGTAATCCTCTCCAATGTGCTTCTTTATTTTTATTTTAGCTTAAAAGTTCTATAGGAACTTGTTGAGTTGGCCCTGTAATGTGTGTCTGTCTAATATTTTTCCGCAACTTTACCCACTCGCAGATTATGGGTGTAACTAATAATATTGCCTATATTAACGATATTTCCATTGGAATGTGTCATAACCTTTAGGAAAAGTCCATGTCAAGGCCATATGTGACTTAGAAGGGTTTAACGCAAGTTTAAGTTGTTTTGCTCCATTATTATTTGGATGATGGATGAGCTGTTCCTTATTAAAATATGGGCTTATTATTAAAACAGGATCAACCAGAAAAATAGGTTGACAAACCTTTCCTAGCCCAGGTGATTTAAAGACCATTTTTTCTTCTTGTGCGCTTCATGCACAACAATTGCACCTCAGTCAGGTAGCTGCGTCCGGCAGCCTTACAGGCGCTAACTATCAGATGCGCCTCGCCTTGTGTGCTTAAGCCCAAAGCCCTGTAGGCACGTTTTTGACTACATAGGTTGCATCTATATTTATTAAACACATTTGAACAATTTTATGTACTGCATGGGGTAAACTTATTTTAAGAATATGAATGCCAGCTTTAGATACTTGATTCAGTCCTTGGACTTGCGTTTTCTGCCTTCCATACACACATAGAATTTGGATCAAATAATTTTTTTCTTAATGTGAGAAGTGAGAATGGTTTTCTTGCATTGGATTTGAGATTCGATGGCCTTAAAAGTGCAAACAGTGCAGCAGGTTTGGTTAAAAATGCGGTGGCAATTCCGTGAATAAGTGAATGTTTTCGCCACCACATTAAGGTGTAGTATTTAAACATAAAAGTGCAATATAGAAAAGTAAAAGTGAAGAGCATTTCTCACGTTAAGCAGTATTTGTATTTGAACCACACTTTTTTTTTTGGTATTTGAAGTTTTGAACCACACTGTATATATAGATATGCATGTATATATAATTTATATTGATATTATTATCATTTATAATTATTATTATAACATTTTGTTTCCCATAGAGAGATGAAAAATGCCACTGGGAGTGTCAAGTTTCAAAATGACTATGGTCGCGTGCATGTACAACTCAGTGGTGGGTGTATGATGTGG